AATCTCCTTAGGAAGTGTCTTTAGATATGGTAATTGTGCATTTCTCATTATATTCATTGGACATCTTCAGCTTGTGTAGTTCTAGCAGAAGTTGTCTAATGCCCAGGTAATTCTTACCTGTGCTGTTTTAGCTTTTGCTTGGATTTGTACAAATGTAGGAACATTTGTAGGTTTGTGAACTCTCTCTCTGCATCAAGTATAGAAAAATAATTGTTGTCACCCATAGCTCCAGAAATTTCCTCTGTTGTTTCCATCTCAAATTGTTCCTCTTTTCCTTTGTTCTGTTACTCCACTGATGGGACCTAGGACCTGAGAGCTTTTTAACCCCAAAACAGGTACCACCAAGAAATTATATCCATACTGATTTACTTGTTACCATATAGTTCACTTGTTACTTTTACGATGCTCAGTGTTGCAGACAACATCTTGATTTTTGCATTTATGTCCAGATTAAAAATTAATAGGTTTGCATTTGTCAAACTGCATGCTCATTAATTTTCTTCTGTAGCATTGTCCATTGATCTTATGAATAATGCCTCTGTAGCAACAGGGCTGTGATTATCATCTCTGTCTAGTCTCTGCACTATGCTTTTATTTGCAAATTCTTGCAAGATATGAAATCTGTTGCAGTTCTCATGTTGTTCTTCAAGCACCCATTGTTTCTTTTCATGGCCATATTGGTTACACTACAGGAAGTTCTATGTATAGTATTGACAAAATTTATCTCTCAGATCTACACAATTCCTGTCACAGGTTTCTCTTCTATTATTCTTGGATATTCTGTTGTTTCCATTTTATGAGGTCTTTTTATTCATCAATCTGGATTGTGTGATTTTGTTCACTATGCAAACTCCATTAGTTCCTTCAAGTTCCTTCCAGTAGTTTTATTCAAGCATTTTGGCCAGGGTTCCAGCGAGAAATCAGTTCTCTGTCAGCACACATACTTTTAAAATGGTAAGGCTGCTTTCTCATCCAGAGATAATTCATCATTTTTCTTGGCCTTTATGTTCTTATCACTCACATGCTTCACTTTTGCAGAGGTCGGTGCTCCTCCAATTTCTGCTATAGGGTTTTATAATTCATTTTCCCTGCTTTGGTCAACTGGAAATTATAAAACACAGCAGGTGTTTCAGAATATCTGTTACCTTTTATGAGGGAGTGGGTTCTGGAGCCACGCATCGGGTTAAGGGCGGGTGGACTTCAGCACCATGGGACAGACACGCTGGAAGGCAGCAGATGAGGCTGAGGGAAGCCTGAAGCACGTAGCACCAGGGGAGCTGGGTTTGGGTGTGGAATGTAGTGCTGTCAGTCTTGAGACATGAAGGGAATTGGCATGCAGAAGGGAGTGGAAGAGGATCAGGAGGGGCAGCTGCCTCGGGAGGGTGGTGTGTGTTTCCTCTGCTGTGCTCAACCTGCAGTGGAGTTAAACCTCATTACCATACAGTAAATAAGAACCATGTTATTAACCTGAGGGTCAGTACTAAGAAAGATTGCCATCACTGATCCAGAAGCCCAGGGAATCTGTTCCGTTCATTTTATAAATCAGAACTGATCAGGTCCCAGGTTTCTTGGGTTTTTTTCCCTGACATCCAGTGCTTAAGGCTTAACTGCATTTTGATATTTTTCAGGGTAGTTCTCTACACTGAATCCATCCGGCTTTCAATGCACATCGACTTTCACTGCAATTCGGTTCATGTCTACACGAGTAGGTTTAAGCGGTTATGATTCCCACGCTAGGGCTGTGAGCAGATGACTCACAGCTGTGCAAGCTGAACAGGGTCTGGAAAACTGCTGGACGCAAGGTGGGAAATCGTAGAACATGAAAAGCTGTGAGAGTCTGACAGCACTACGGGGAATAGCTGGACCTCACAGCTGGTTAAGGCAATCTTATGTGAGAAACCGCTGAAGTCCACCGATAATTGGACTGGTGCATTTTTGCTGCACCCTTAGGGGTGCAGAGTCTTGCAAGGCCAACAGCACCCAGATAACCTTATAAATAGCACTATATAAAACAGATTTATGATAATCTCATTCATTTTGCCTTCATGTGACAGATGCTAGAAAGTCTCATAAGACATCTCAATCCTTACCAGTACTACAAGGGGTGTTTATTAAGTATTGTTTTAGTTGGGATCAGAAGCGCAATTTAGAGAAGAGCTTCCCAGTCATTCCCAGTGTCTGGGCCATTACTTACAGTGAGCAGAGATCACGGGGCTTGAACCAGACTCCTCTCCTATGAAACCAACCCAAATCTGGGCTCCAGGAAGGTTCTCTGACTTCTAATGGGAACTCACTTTGTGCAACCAGGCTACAACTAGTAGGAAGCAAAACGCACTGAAGTACTAAAGAAGGGGTAGTGCTGTCATCCTAAATATAAGTAGTCTGGATGTTGGGTCCACAGTGCTGACCAACTTGCTGTGCAGTTGGGCTGTGCTGCTTGCTAATGAAGGCTTACAAAGGTGTCGTCCAACTTCACATGCTCCTGGGAGAGCCCATTCATCCATACTGCACCTGGAAAGCTGTAGTACCTGCCAGTCGGTGTGACCTTCCCTATCGACAAGTGTCTCCTCAATAGTGTGAGTTATGTCTGTTGTTTTGCTTGTTAGATGCCTGATACCTGACATACAATTAAATATAAGGCATTTACATACATACGTTCAGTCCTAAAATACTCGGTCATATTCACTGGCTTTGGGAAGCAAAGCTTGGTACAGTGCTCACATGGTCTGTGAGTTCTTACTCTTCCCTATTTTTCCTGAAGTGATTTAAGTTCCTCTCTATCAACACACACACTTGCAACAAAAGAAGCATTTTTCTGACATTTTGCCCTGTTGTGGGAAGAGGTACAGTGTGAAAATTCAGTCTTTAACCCCAAGCATCCCACAAGACAAAACATCATCAGATATCCCCAGAAAGAAATGTTGAGGATCTCACGGCCCTAGCTTGCTGTTTCACAACAGCTGTAGAAATGACTGCAAAGTAGTGACAGGATGGGTGCGCTGAACCTAGGAGGAAGGTTATAAAATGATGTGTTTTAAGAATTCCCGAGTTTGTAGAGAAAATAAAAGAGAACCATCATTACCACTGTTACCACCATACAAGCGTATACCTAACTTTCTGTAAAACAGGTCTGTGTTATAAAATCATGTTACTGGTGTCTTAGCTGTGCAAAATCCTCATCAAAATAGTACGCCAAACATTTTTTTTATTTTTTCTACATTTGGAAAAAAGATCCAATTTATATTTTTTTTACGAAGTTTGTTAGTAGTCTTCTGAAAGACAAGTTTGGAGGCTTTCTAGTGGTTTCTGTAAGAATCTTAAAAAAGCAATATGAAAGAAACTTTCAGCAATTCCTATGATGTCACTTTATAACTATTAAAACTTAATTCTGTTGATACACTTCATGTCAAATTATTCCAGAAGCTGCCATCAAATGTTGGGGGTTTTTTTCCAGAAATCTGAAAAGTACTGTAACATCTCATGTTAGACTGTTATATTATGCTCTGGTTCTTACACTTCAGTGAGATTTCAGTGATAAGCTAAAACACCGAAGATACCTCAACTGTAAAGATAAAAATATTCTACCGTGTGTGCTGCTTTTCTTAATTTTCTAGTTTTTAGTTGAAAACAGTTACGTCAGTTTTCAAGTTTTTAAAATAAATGGATCACAGCTATTCAGTTACGATTGTATCATCATCTGCAAAAGGTTGAATTATCATGGAGTCTGATCTAGGGCTCTGGAGCTAAAGGATGCAACCGTTTTGTAAAATCAGAAAGTCCTTGGGGCTGGATCTGCTACTGTAGATAAAAAGAACCATATGTGTATTGTTTCAAGCATAGCCTTGAGCAAATATTTTCGGTGTCAAGCAATGGTGTAAATTAGGCAAGGCTAAAATAAGTGAAGTTAATGCAGAATTAAATGAGCTGAGTAAATAAGAATTGTAACCTATTGTTACAATTTTTATTTCTTAGATATCTAAATATTCATAAAGTATTGTTTTAGTATATACTAAAAAGCTGTAACTTCTTAGCCAATTTTAAGCAAATTAGTTTACTTCTTTTTCTGTGATTATGTTTTCCATCTGTAAAATGTGGATTCACATACATATTTTCTTCAAAATTACATTTCTCAAAATATTTTTGAAGGCTGAGTTTTCAACTCATCATTTCTTCCACATTACTTACTGTATCTTGTGTCATAATGACATAAATTTTTCATTATGTTGTCATAACCAATGCCATTAACATGATCACTATTTTATATCTTTGCTTTCTATGCAGAGGTAGCTACTATGAATGTGTATTACAATCTGCATTCACTATTTCAAAGCCTTTTATAAGAAAGTGGATTGACGTTTCAGAGCATTACTCTGACATAAAATAGGATTATTAAGCTTATTTTGTACCTGGAAAACTGGGACCCAGAGATTGTCAAGATGAGTCTAGGTGAGGCGAATCCCCATCTTAACCAGTGTACACTTGGTACCGTGTATCAGAACTGGGACTGATCCTCAGACCTCCTGTCTGAAATAGAAGTACAAGGGCGTACTTTCCTTTAGCGATACTAAAATGTACAGCCTGAAAACATTTGTTAAATAACTTAAAGACTTTAATAAACAGTAGCATTTGTTGAAGTGCTCTGAAATGGTTAAATGGATCTTTATTTTTGGTTTTTTTTGTGAACAGCTAAGATTCAGACAGATTAATGCAGCTTTTCCATTATGGATTTAATATTTCAGTACTCGCTTCTGGAGTATTTAGCATCTTTTTCACTGTGCTGATTAAAATCTGTTGTAGATGATAATTATGCTGGTTTTATCATTCAAACACTCAAAATTGATTTTTAAATCTTTAAGTGGCTTGTACTAGACTTTTATTTCTCAAAGGGTTTAGAAGCCTGCTTATATTATATCCTTTTGTCATGTTCTCTGTAAACGCTAAATCAATGCAAAATTAGTAGATTCCCAGTTCTAAAAAAAAAACCCACCCTTTTTTCGTAGGAGGAAGAACTAAGGAAAAGTGGAGAAGCCAAATACGCGCACCTGAGTGATGAGCTTCACGTATTAATTGAAGTGTTTGCTCCACCTGGGGAGGCGTATTCTCGTATGAGTCATGCCTTGGAAGAAATTAAAAAATTCCTCGTTCCTGTAAGTGGCTTATAGCATTCTTCTGTGACTGGTTATGGTTTTACTACACTGAATTTGTGCCTTCTTTAAGCACCTTTAGCTCAAGGAGAAAAAAAAAAGTTCTGTTGAACATTAATCTTTTATTCTTTTGTCTCAGGGAGATGCCAAACAGGCCATTAATTGTCACAGTTGATCCCCTGATATATTTTCTAGATGTTTTATTATTTCTATTTGTCATTGTTTTTTGCTTTCCTTTCTTGGTTTCTGGAGGGAAAGGTGGATTACTTTTTTTTTTCTGGTTGCAGACATTAGTCATTTGTATATGAGTACACTTTCAAGATTTTTAAATATTTAAGTCTGTAAAAACGTTTTTGTATATGCAATGATTTATCTAAATATCTTGCTAATGAAGTTAATGCTTTTCTTGTGGAGCAAACAGCATGAACAAAACATTCCTCAGACATTTCAGTTGAGGCAGCTTGTCATGACTCAGACCACAGTTTAGCAGTCCTCCATCAGCTAGGAGAGCACAGAAACATATTCTAAAGCTGGGAACCTTTTCAGTTTGATTTACACTAAATATATCACTTCCTGAAATATTTACCTGTTTGTCTATTGGTTTTCCATCAAACTCTCTGAAATTTATTTTCTCCACATTTATACAGTATTCCACGATATTTTCATACTTAAAATGTGTCCTAGAATTTAAGCATATGCATACTAAATACTAAGTGAAGGTTGCTTCATGCAGTACTAGAATTACATGAGTTATCATCTGAAGTCTATCCTGAGGCTATTTAGCACTCTAAAAAAGTTCAGAACTTTCATTCCTTAAAAATATATAATGGGAGCTTTTTTCTGTTTGTGATAAAAGATGAAGTGCAACAACTGTTCATATCTCTCGACAATAATGGAAGGATTCAATGAATGCCTTTTTATTATGAGTAGTATGAAGCCAAGATAAGAGATATTCAGGTGAGGCATACACGTATTTTCATGGCAGAAGTTACATGTTTCATTTGGTGGGGACTTCTTGACAGGGGAAAAGGAGAATATAACTACAGTTTTTAAGTACAGTATTTAAAATGTTCAAAATTTTTAGAGCATCTAAACATTTTTTTAAGGATACAAAATAAGTAACTTAAAACTGTTAAAAGTAAACAGCTGGGTATTTGTTTTAAATAATAAAGTTTATTGGCACCAAGTGAGTGCCCATCTACATTTTAAAGAAGTTGACTCTATCTATCTGATTCTCCCTTTCCATCTCCTTATTATGCTTCCAGTTTGGGAACACTGGTAATAAATTACTATTACAAATTCTGGAAAATAACCGTGAGACAAGAAAGCTTTTTCTTTGTTATTTCTGACTCTGTGTTGAACATACAGTATAAGGGACAAATTAGGTCAATGTAGTAATTCTGGCAACATAATGTGGAATGACATTTTGGCTGAACGTTAATGGTAAAGATCTGCAAAGCCATAACACTGAAAGGAAATGTATAGTTAACAAGTTCCTGAAAAGTCTGGAGTGTTACAGCTAAAAATGGTAACAGGGCCAATTACAAAGATTGCCAGTCTCCGTCCTTTGGACAACCCTATTTCCAGTTGTTTGTGTCTTTGCCAAACTTTAATTTGTAAGAGGTTCCTCTTTAAAGTTATCTTTGTATGTTCTCTTCATTCTGGAAGAGAGCTCCTGCATTCTAGCGTGATGCAGTGGTGATGGTACCCGTTCCTATGCTCCCTGGATTTTTAACACCCATTACATATTCTGTGCAGCCTGAGAAAATCTGTTCCGGGTGAATAAGAGCGAGCGAGCAGTGTGTGATGAGAGTGGTGTTAAAATTTGTGGCATGTTGCTGTTCTAAATATTCAGCATCTGCGCAAGCATATATTTTGTGTGACACATTATTTATTGATAAGGGTTATATGTATTTTCCAGCACAAGTATAATAGCTACACTGGAGGAAATATAAAAACAGGGTCTTTGTTACAAGATTTTGAACTTGGTTGGCAGCGGCAATAACCACTCCAAACAAGTAACAATTGTGCTTTATGACTTCTTTGTTAGTTTTATCCCCTCTGCTTCATTTCAGATTTACAACAATTTACAAAGCAATTATTAACTGGCTGGTTACAACATGTGTCAAGGGGTTTACACTCAGAGAGCTTGCACTAGATAATTTGCTTTTTGTTGCCTATTTACAGCATCTCTTGAATTTGTTTTATGATGGTTTTTTGTTTATAAGACCTAATTTATTGCAGCGGTGAATACTAGAATTGCATGACAGGGATGAAAGCAGTAGAATCTAGCAGCTTTATTTATACCAAATCAAGGATGTAATAAACTATTCAAATGAATTTTCACATTGCTTATGAATTTTGTGAAGTTTAAGTGAAATATTGCCCTCAGAAATTACACTGTTTGTGTCAGTAAGATGGAAGAATGTTTTTATCCGTACTTTATGTAATTACATTTATGTGATGTACTTTATCTGTAACTTTTAATGAGACTGAATTTTAAAATAAATGCCTAGAAAACATAATAACAGAAAAAGAGGAAAATGTAGAGTAGGACTGAGGAAAAAAAAGAAATTGACTGTTTATTAACTGAAGCAAAGTTTTAATGAATGAGTACCTTTGATTTAAATGTGATTACTTAATTTTCACCTTCAACCTTACCCAAGAATAGTATCAAAATTTCCACTAGGGAAGATTTCACCTTCAAGTCAGAGGTAGAACCTAAGTACCGCTGTTTCCACTGGCTGTTCCACATGTTTCAAGGCTGCAGGCAGCTCAGCCTCAGGTCGTGCATTGGGCTCCCTCCAAACAGGCATTTTGGTGAATGACTGAACCCCGAACGTCGGCAGCCTTTGGTAGTTTGCTGACTGACACGCTTTTAAAGCCAAGATGCTGCATTTACTGTCTGCTGCTTCCATTTTGCAAATGGCTTGAGGTCTGCGTGGGAGCTGCTGTCAGGGCATTGCTAACTGGTGGATAAGATTTATTTTGCAGCTGACTTTGCTAGGTCTTTTGTGTCTTTTATGCAAAACTTTGGCTTTAGGGGGGCATGGGGTGTCTTATATCCAGATACTAGCTAGATATTGTCCTCCATTTTATTTTGATGTTTACACTCAATCTGTAAACTTGAGTATCATGGAAATATGTCAGATAAAAAGACCCATGATTACGTAAATAGGATTAATACCTCAAAGTTTTGAAACACAACTGCCAGCTCCACTTTTTTTTTTTTTTTGGCAACCTAGTAAAAAAATGTGCTCCCCCAAGTCGAGGTTTTAGGGTAAAGATCAAATTTGGAACTGATGTTAACGTAATGCAAGGTTTTTCCAGTGTTAGCTACATGGAAAGTACAAAGAGTGGGGATGCTTAGGAAGAGGACATGTGTTTTGCAGATTCACCTCTGTGGCCAACACAGATTCGATAAAATCCATAGGTTTCTCACTGCCGAGTACTTCTGACCCCAAACTGCCAGGGACCTAGGTCTGGGTGAGGAACCAAAGGCTGATATAATGTCTCAGGGCCTCAGAATGGGATGCAAGGTCAGTGACTCCTCAGAATGGGATGCAAGGTCAGCTCTGGAGCCCTCAGCACAAGAAGGACATGGAACTGTTGGAGCAGGTCCAAAGGAGGGCTACTAAAATGATCCGAGAGCTGGAGCACCTCTCATATGAGGACAGACTGAGAGAGCTGGGTTTGTTCAGCCGGGAGAAGAGAAGGCTGCGGGGAGACCTGATTGCGGCCTTTCAGTACCTAAAGGGGTCCTACAAGAAAGACAGGGAAAATCTTTTTTAGTAGGGCCAGCTGTGACAGGACAAGGGGTAATGGCTTTAAACTAAAACAGAGTAGGTTTAGACTGGATATAAGGAAGAAATCCTTTACAATGAGGGTGGTGAAACAGGGGAATGGGTTGCCCAGAGAGGTAGTGGAGGCCCCATCCCTGGAAACATTCAAGGCCAGGTTGGACGGGGCTCTGAGCAACCTGATCTAGTTAGTGGTGTCCCTGCTCCTGCGGGGGGACTTGGGCTAGATGACCTCTGGGGGTCCCTTCCAACCCAAAACATTCTATGATTCTATGACCTGGAAGGGGAGGTGTTTAAAATGGCCAATATGGGAGGGGAAATAGCTTAGAAGCTTTTCAAGCTTTGCTGATTTTAAAAGATTCATAGCTATTAAATGCTGTGAAACTTTCTTCACCATTAATGAGGAGTGAAATGCTACATCATTCTTATCAGATATCACGGTATCACTCTGATTTACATCCAAACGTCCAAATATATTTTCTGAACAAGCTATTATTAGTAGGGGGCTATACCGTCTTTAGGTGTTCTGTGCTTCCTAACACGTGCAAAAATCTTTTTGTGATAACCATTTTCATCCCTTTAAGCAGAGCATTTTTATTTGACATGGTTAGCATCCCTTGGGATGAGGAGGGAAGCAGATACTGATCATTCCTTTTATGTGGGAGAGCTCTGTAATAGGGAGCTATTATGTAGAGGGCAGGTTGCAGCTGCAGTGACACGACAGCTTTAAAAAGATTGTTTACAACTTTAAGAGCTACTGTTCAAATTATTTGCATACATTTCCCTAGCCACTTGTATCTGCTTTAAATTGAGGCATATTGGCAACACTCAAAGGCTGGGAATAAACACATGGTCATTTAATGCAGTCCAGTTGATGGGTGATCACTCATGATGATCCAACGGTGTACCTCAGTATTTTCGGAAGGTGTTAATCAGATCAGATCAGATTCCTTTATTAGGAATTAGTGCAATGAGACAGCAGGTGAATGCAGGTTTTTGTGTTGCTGTGAATTGAAGCTACAAGGCCTCCCAGGCTTTCTTCAGGATGCCTAAATCTCTTATTGAATAGTTAACTTCGATCCTTTTATCTCACCTTGCTTCATACCATTGACTAAAATAATTTTCTTTACTAATAATTTAAGAAGAATAAGCATTCTCACTGATTCCAGCAGCAGCTCTTCAGTCTTCCTGATTAAAGATAGA